CTAATTCTTATCCTCTACATCACATAAAACCAATCTACCATGGTCTAAGTTAGTTAATCTAGAAAGGTAGAATGAGGTTGTTGAGAAGGCAGTCATCAAGAATCATGAGTTCTAATCCAGCTGTGCAACTAACAAATTTACAATATGAACCAGGGCACAGCCATTCTTGGTGTTTGTTTCCTTACACATTAAGTAACAAGGAAATAACAAGATTATTTCTAAGGGACTTTACAAATCTAATGATCTGAGTTTCTGAGCGACTTATTTGCACTAAAATATATTATAATCTAATACCGATAAAACCATTTGGCCCTTAATCTAAAAAAATTATGTGTCATTTAGGACCCTATGTGGAAACCTAGACTAGATAAGCCTAGAATAACTGATAGGTATAGCCAACTCTCAGTCATCCAACAAAGTGTTTAAGCAATTTATCAGCAAACTGGGTCAGGATTATGTTCATGTAAACATCACAGAGAAAGACTTTCATATAGACTTGGGTATAGGCCATTGTGCAGTGATTATGCACAGATAACTATATTCCTCCCCAGGGCAGGCATTTTTTCCATTTGCAGTCTTGCAAGGGTCATAATTTAACAACTATCACAGGGGATAGAGCACATATCATGAGCAAATTCATGTATGCAGTGCAATCCAAGATTCTCTCTTAAAGAGGACTTGTAATCAACCAGAAAATTGGACATACCAAAAATGCTATTCATTTTGATATCTCATAATGGGTGGGGATAGAAAAACAACTCAATGATCAGAATGCAGCCATGTTTAACTCACCAGCCACTGAGTTGCTAAATTTCCATTAAGTTAACTAACTTTAAAGCTCCTTAGGCTTACTACTGCATGGGACTGCTAACAAAACAAGTATGTATCTGGTTATTTAGTGAACTATTTTCTTCCTAGCTTTCTGAATAAAAATATATCCTTTTGCTATATGGCATCATTACAGAAATTTCCATTTTTATAGTTTAATGCCATTTTAGTATTTTATTTATGCATTTGGAAGTGGTAATAAAATTATTTGAATCCCCCTTCCCATATTGATTTCTATGAGTATCCTTTTTTAAAAAAAAATAGCAGGAAAAGATAGAAATATTTTCAGGATAGGGATGTCTATTCTTAGTATATTTTAATGTATTTTAGAGAATGCTCATATCCCTCTGCCTTTTTGCCAGCCCTTACCTCCTTAATTACATCCAGCTTTAACCAGATAAATGCTTGCTGAAAAGTCTTATTAAATTAATCCATGTTGATGACTTCCTCAAGTTTCAATCTAAAAATCAAAACTCAAAAAGCCAGAGGCAAGGAAACAGGGCACGGATGGAGCTCAGAGGGAAGGGGGAAGGGATGCTGTCAGAAATTAACCAAAGAACTTACATGCATATATGCATAATCTATGGACATACTTGTATTAAGAGAGAAATATAGACTCAGTCCAAAGTAGGAATAAATTATAAACTTTCAGGGCTCAAGGAATTCCTATTAACAAGTGTTTGTATGTCAATGTGGATACCCTGCATGGAACAAGAACTCCATGGGAAAACAGTCTGCTTTTTTGTTCTTATCTTAAAAGAGAAAGTAAAAAGAGATAAAACTGCCTTATTCTTATTAAGAAGTTATCCCAAGGGACTAAAAGCACTTCAGTGATCAATAATAGGTTAAGGAGACTAGCATAAGCACTCAAAATATCCTTAAGAGAGGCAAAGAGAGACCATGAACAATTTTTGAGATAAGGGTTAAGAATTTTTTTGGAAAACAATTAAAAACAAATTTAAGGAATGTTTGAAATAATACATTCTACATTCTTATATTTCTACAGATCTCTCTGTAAGCAATACCTCTTATTTTCCATTATACTGTTCAGTTGTGTAATTTATATTATTTTAACTAAGCACTGTTAGTAGTAGAAATGAAGAAGTTTGACACTGCCTGGATCTGAGGCAATGGTTCTGTGCACTGATGAAGAGGACAAAGTAAAAGGTAGATTAAACCAGGAGACCTGTTAACTCTGTGGAGCCAGAAAGAATCTGAGTCATTGTTGAAACCAGAGAGAGAGCTTCAAGGCAAAAATGTTTTATTCAAAGACCATGGATTCTGCTGTTCATAAGCTAACTGTGCTTGGGGACAGCAGAGCAGGGATGGGAGAGGGTAAGCCTGAAGTGCTGCAGGGATGGGATCGCACACCAGCCATGTGTGGCTCAGCTATTCACTGTGGTGAGAGCCTAATGGTCCCACAGCCCTCTTGTGGCAACTCTAAACTGCAGGCATAGGGCCTAAACTGGGATAATGGGCCTCTACAGGTCTGGCCTAGAATTTCCAACCCTATTAAATGAAAACTAATAGAACAAAAGCCAAAAAGTATTCTGGGCCTAGAGAATAGTGAACCATTGTTAGGGAAACATATAAACACCTAAGTTTTAATATTAAAAAATAAATGAGAGAAGGGGAATGGATAACCAAATCACGCAGTTTCCCTTTTAAAGGAGAATTCCATACATGAACAAGTCACGTGGAGGCAAATTACAAAGAAGTTACATGCACACTGAAAATAGAGTTTGTATTGTACAAAGTTTCTTTTGTCCTTTATGTTCTTTTAAAGAACTATAACTAGTAAAAGTAAATGCTTAATAAACACCTGCTGAGTGACCAAGTCAATGACTGAGTGAATAATGAAAAGAATGATTAGTCAATGAACAAGGCTATTTTCCTAAGCTTCAGCCAGAGATAAAAATTCATCCTGCCCATCAGTTATTTATAACCCTTGCTCTCTGTGTAACCCAGATTTGGCAAAGGAGTGGTTATATAAGTTGCCTCCAGGGCTCACAATGGTCATTTCTTAAATTCTTAATATCTGCCTGTTTCCTGACTAATGATTGAAGCAGTGCTCTTAAGGGTCACTGAATGCCTCATTGCTAAATTCAAACCTTTTTTTTTTTTATCTCAGTATCTCAGTCCACATTCACCTTGCTGAAGCAGATGGCAGAATGGAACATAACCTCTTAAATCTCCTGATCTAATCTGTATAATAATAGTAGGAATATGAATCACAAGATACAATTGAAGTGGGTTTGAAATGCACTCAGTATGAGATCCATATTTAGTTTCCCTTTTACTTGGGTTAAAATGTAAGCTCAACTTGTTTAGAGCGACCTTCTCTGCCACTTCAGTGCCTCTCTAAGGTGTGCTGGCCATCTTTCAGCCCTATTTGTCTCATCAGATAGAAGTTTCTTCTCTGAGCAAAAGCAAGCAAATCAGAAAGGCCTTTGTACTTCTATCCTGTAAATTGGGGATTATATAATCTGTCCTTGGGAATAGCTGAGAGGGAAGGCCACTATCTCCTTTAAAATGTCTGCTTACAACTCTCCTTGCCTTGCTTCTGCCTAATTCCAACACAGAGAAGCTTCAGCTTGTTTGGGAAAAGTCTCTCTGCGTTTTTACTTCGAGTAAAGATAGTTTCTCCAACTATTATCTATGCCATTGTGTTCAAGTGATTACTTTGAAACTCAAAAGCCAAGAATTAATTTTATTTTTTGCATTTTGTTATAACTACTTTATAGGGATGTGTGCATCTTTGATTATATTCTTCATACATTCCACTGACAATAAAATTATTTATTATAAAATATTTGACATATAATAAGAGTGACCTCCAAAAAATTATGCCGATTTTTGAAATTATTATTAGTGTATGAGAATCCCATTTTCCTACATTCTTGTTAATACACTACATTTGAAATATATATTTATGGTTTTTAAATTAAAAATGAAATATTTTGTGTATAATCTATATTTGTTTGATTACTAGGGAATTTGAACATTGTTCCATAAATTTATGGTACATCTGGATTTTTAAATTATTACTTGTCATCAATTAATTTGCCCATTTTGCTAGATCTTTATTGACTTGTAAGAGAATTTTTCATTTGAAGAATACTAACTAATTGACTGTTGCATATGGAAAATATGTTTCTGGTTTATTTTTTACCTTTTTATTATGTGTGAGAAATTGAAACTTACAATTTTAAAATCTGATTTTGTGAATTTTTTATCTTTAGTATTTTTATTTAAGAATTATTTTTTCATGCAAGATGATGACTGTTCCCTTATGTTACATTTTAGTTGTTTTATGGTTTTATTTTTACATTTAAAATTTAATCAATTTGTTATATTTAGCATTGACTGTGAGATTGGGGTCATTTAATTATTACTTGTTCCAGCATCATTATTTAATAATCCTTTTCTCCTTTGATCTAAATTCCATGTTTTTCATATAATAAAATTGATATATAATGGGTCTGCTTCTGGACTCTGTTCTGCCTCTCAATACACCAATAAGACTCGACTTCATCCATGTGAATAAATACCTAATAAATACTGATATCTGGTAGGAAAGCCATCCTTTATTACTATTTCTTAATTTTTCAAAATTTCCTGACTAGTACATTTATTCTTCCAAATAAAATTTAGAAATGCCATTCTAAATGTTAGCATTATATTTTAGGTCATTATTTCTCACCCTCTTCACTTGAAGCCCCACCCAATCTATTCTGTTCCCTAGAGCCGTGGTCGGCAAACTGCGGGCTCGTGAGCCACATGTGGTTCTTTGGCCCCTTGAGTGTGGCTCTTCCATAAAATACCACGGCTTGGGTGAGTCTAATTTGAAGAAGTGACATTAGGAGAAGTTCAAGTTTAAAAAATTTATCTCTCAAAAGAAATTTAAATCTTTGTACTGTTGATATTTGGCTCAGTTGACTGAGTTTGCCGACCACGGACCTAGTGAATCTTAACCTGATTATAGTTCAACTGCAAAGTACTAAATAATAATGATGAAGGCAATAAATCCTGTTTGCCATGGCTTCTCAAAATTTCAATATATTTTTATATTTTATATGTTTATATTTTAATATGATACTAATTTCAGATTTGTCACTCAAGAAAATGAACACGGAAATTCTCCACTTTAAGAAATGTCACTGTCTTTTCAGAGCGTAGAAGGTGAACATCATGAGAAAGCTGTGGAACTACTCAAGGCTGCTAAGGACAGCGTCAAGCTGGTGGTGCGATATACCCCGAAAGTCCTGGAGGAAATGGAGGCTCGCTTTGAGAAGCTACGGACAGCGCGGCGTCGGCAGCAGCAGCAACTGCTAATTCAGCAGCAGCAACAGCAGCAGCAGCAGCAAGCACAGCAAAACCACATGTCATAGGTGAGAAGAGCCTTCCTCTGTGCAGGGCAAGTCCATTGCATATTCCAGTGTTTGTTTGTTTGTTTGTTTAATGTATTTTTATTGATTTCAGAGAAGAAGGGAGAGGGAAAGAGAAATAGAAACATCAGTGCTGAGAGAGAAACATTGATCAGCTGTCTCCTGTACATGCCCCTGCAGGGGATCTAGCCTACAACCTGGGCATGTGCCCTGACTAGGAATGGAAGGGAGATCTCCTGATTCATAGTCAATGCTCAACAACTGAGACACACCACCTGGGCTAGTGTGTGTGTGTGTGTGTGTGTGTGTGTGTGTGTGTGTGTGTGTGTGTGTGTGTGTTTTAATATGGTTTCTTAGCTGGGATAAAATTATTATATTTAATAATTAAAAATATAGTCAAGCAAATAACAAAAATCTCAGAAAATGTAAACACAACAGATGCTGCTTAGTGTGTCATTCAGCCACATTCTTTGTAAATGCAAGGTATTTTGGAAAATAATATACTTTGGGAGGACCAGGTACAGACGCTTGATACCTTTTTACAAATTAGGAAAATTCAGCCTCTCTGCAAACCCAGATCCTCAGGCACAAAGCCAGATGACTAGGATGGAGGCTGAAATCCAGCTCCGGGCTCACTCCCATGGCCAGTGGTCTTGGCAAAGGGCACAGACTAAACAACCTTTAGTGCTGAGGCTGGGAAGACCCTCTTTGGAATATTGAAATACAACTGGTTAGGAAACTGTTTCACTGAAAAGAAAGAAGTAGAGACTTGCCATTGTCCATGCTAGGAAAGATTTTGAAATTATCTTTAGATGTTCATTTAGAATGTGCCCAAGATGCATCTGCCTTTTCTTATATTCCACCTTGTGGCAAAGAATACTCATATTTTTCTATATAGCTTAAGAAAATTCAAGGAAAAAATCTTAAGAATCTTTGATGTATCTGCTATGTGCTAGGCCCTTCTCACATGTGATTGCTCACCCTCAGAAGAACTTTTTAATGTATCATGAAAACCCACTTTTTTTTTAGATGAAGCTCCAGTAATTTCAGTGGAGTCCCCACAACCATAGTTACAAGTAGCACAGAATTGTTTTACTTTTTGCTCTATCAGGTATTTCATCTGCTAACATCAGGTATTCTGGAGTCATATAAATTTATCTTGCTATCTTTTGGAGGCCACAGCTTATATCGTTGGATATCCCTACACTATGACATCTGAAAATATTTGTTTGAAATGAGGTTCAAATGCTCTTAGAAAAATGACAAGGGGTACTGGTGATTTTAACTCCTTCAATTTCAGATTATTATTTGCACAATCAGAAACATTGGATATGACATGAGACTTTCAATTTTTTGTGACACTTATGAAAAGCAGAAGCTGCATGGAGAAGTCAAAGTATGGGATTTTTCCTCAGAGAGTTGGGAATTCGACAATCTATCTTGTTTTTAATAGCCTTTTAATCTTATTATATATACATCTTATTTTGGTGTCTTTATCTAAACCTCCATTCCATTCTAAAAGCTACATTTATTCAACAATGAATTTTATTTAGCACTAGGATGGGCAAGGTACTGTTCAATGGGCTGAAGAACCAGCACGAGCTAAGAAAAATTCTTGCTCTCTTGGTGCTTACATCCTGATTAGAAGAGATAGTTAATAAAAAAAAAGTAAACTAAAATATCCTAGAGGGGCCAGTATTTTGCAGAGTTAAAATTAGAAACTGGTTAGATCACGACTTTCAATTAGGTGATCAGGGAAAACTTCACAAAGGAGGTGACATTAAACTTGAAATTGATTAGGAGAAGCCAGGAAAGAGCAAAAGAGAAGGAAAAAACCAGTGTAGTAGTTCTAAGGCTGACATGAACTACTTGATATTTGAGAAACAGAAAGAAAGCTAGGGTGGCAAGGGAATAATGAGAAGACAGTGAAACAGATGGGGGCCAGGTCACAGAAAGCTTTTTAAATCACTGAGGGAAGTTAGATTTTATTGCAATTGAAGCCACTCAAGGTACTTAAGGAGGGGAGTGACATGATCTGATTTAGGTATTAAAGATGATAACTCTGGCTGCTATCAAGAGAGTAGATTATTGCAGGGTAACAGTGAGAACAGAGAGCAATTAGGAGGTTATTAGTTAGTCATCTAGACAAGTGATGTGGTGGTTTGAAATAGGATGATACCACCAAGAGGGAATGCCATGGATGCACATGGACAAGTTATTTTGTCCATATCCTTCTCTCTAATCCATTCCGAATGTAAAGGTACTTTACATTCTTTTACATTTATACTTTCAAATCCTTTTAAATGTCTCTTTGCTAATATCAATTCACTATTTTTTAGTCAAGCATTGACACTCATTTCACTAACTCATTTTCTTCCATCCTCATATTATAGACTTGTACCAATTCTTCTCACTGATATGCCACTGGCCCACAGTGCCGGAAGCCAGTTCCAGCATGTCATAATTGCAAGAGTTTCATCAAAAGGTTGATGGAACTTGGAGACTCAACAAGAGCTGAGTCACATATGTTATCACCTGCTGGGAATGACTGAAAGGCATTTCCCCAAACTTGAAAGGGATGCATATATTGATTGCTTGCTGCCAGACAGCTAAAGCATCTTAATCTACATGCTATTGCCTCCTACTAGCCAAATATCTGATTGGTTATTCCCTAATCTGACAATGGATTCTGTATCTAACTCTACCCTTTGATGTATATATCTCCACCTTGCCTTAGGACAAATTGTGTCAATAAAAAGCAAGGGATCCTGAGACAAGAACTTGATATCTTCAGCCAAACTTCTCTGCCCTCCCTCCCCCAATGACTTTCAAAATTATGTTTGGTCTCTGAATTCTTATTTAATTTATGCACAGTGCCTTCTCCAGGTTCATGAACCCTTCTAGATGCTGGATCAAGACCACCAGTGTTAACACAATTAATTTTTTTCTGAAGTATTTTGAAAGAAATATGTTACCATTCTGACTTTTGAGATCTGACTAAAAAATTAAATCATTATGCTCACTCAATTATCTTTGGAAGTATACAACTTGGCCATAAATATTTTCTGGACCATAAACTCAACATCATTTCTCTGTTCTATCAGCCCTTCATCAAACCACTTCAGAATTTCCTACTGCCTCACCACCAAAGACTAACATTTTTAATAAAAGGCAATTACAAACGATGTTTTTTCTTTGCACATGATGTGGTAAAGCTCTATTTAAGTGAACATTACATTTATATAAAAATATATACTCGCCAAGACAACACTTTCAATCTTACACAGGCATGGACCCTTGAGATAAAAATGTGGTGACCATTTCAAGCACAAGCAGAATAAAACTACCCAGTGTCACTCAGGGATTTTATGGTGAATTTATAGTCAGAGACCTACATTAGCTCTTGCTCAACTTTTAATTAATTAAGATTTTTAAGGATTAAATGAGATTTGCTACACTTGCTAACTCATGCTATGGTGGCTTTTGCAAAGACATTTGAAGCTAATGTGACATATTTACTTTGAACAGATCTCTGATATTTTTTAAGTATGACAAATCAAGAAAAGATTAGTTAAAGCAGAAGACTTGTCAGATATTACCTTGCTGCTTATACCACAAAATATAATTTCTATTCTTTAGAAATAACTTTTTAAAAAATCTGAGATGCTATGAATTATGGAGTAATTAGCATGGTAACTGCTGAATACAAATGGAAAAATATGTTGCATGCAGATTGTATGGGGTGAATGTCCCTTATATTATACCTACTTCTAATGTTAAACTCCATTTAAGTAAATTGCAGTTGTTTTTTTCTCCAGCTTCCATGTTTGGTAATAAGAAAGAATAGATTACATTTTCTAAAATGTAGTCGATATGATCACTATACAATTATATCATAGAATCTTAAACAGAGTGTATGAATATAGGTTTTTTTAAATTTATATTCACTTTTCAAAATTTTATTTTTTAATTACAGTTTACATTAAATGTTATTTTGTATTAGTTTCAGGTATATAGCATAGTGGTTAGACAATCATGTCCTTTATAAAATGGTCCCCCCAATAATGCAAGTACCACCTGACACCATAGGTAATTATTGCAACATCATTGGCTATATTTCCTCTGCTGTACTTTACATCCCCATGATTGTTCTGTAACTACCAATGTGTATTCTTAATCCCTTCACTTCCCTCCCTTTTTTCCCCCAACCCTCCTCCCCTCTAGTAACCATCAATCTGTTCTATGTTACTGTGAGTCTGTTTCTGTTTTTGTTTGTTTACTTTGCTCTTTAGATTTCATATATAAGTGAAATCATATGGTATTTTTTTGGTCTGACTTATTTCACTGAGTAGAATACCCTGTAGGTCCATCCACGCTGTCCCAAATGGTAAAATTTTATTCTCTTTAATGGTCAAATAATAGTCTATTGTATCCAATAGTTTATTGATGGGCACTTGGGTTGCTTCCATTCATGGCTTTTGTAAATATTGCTGTAATAAACATAGAGATCCATATATCCTTTTGAATTAGTGTGTTTGAAGTATTACATTAATTTAGCTTTAAGCATCTTATTTTTTAAAGACTGACTTTATATACATCTATAAAATATGAAAATATACACTTTATATTTTACCTAGATTCCAAATAATAACAATAGAAAGAAAGAGGAGTACTTCTAGAGATGTCAGCATTATGAGGAAGTCTAAGCCACAAGCCTTTTTTATTTCTCTGACCTTCTATTGCTGGAACAAGGATGAAGAATTCATTTACATTCAAAATCAGGCAGGATCTTAGCAGATGTACAAAGCAGCTGGCATTTGCCAGAGGCCTCGCTGACTCTTTCTGTGTCCTCCTGCTATTCAGGCCCTCATTTCCTTATTTTGTCCACTACCGAGTGTTCTATACCTTCCAGCATCACGGCCTCAGCCATGGCTGGTTGGCCTGATCCAGGGAACACTGCCAGAGCTACCAGCCGCTCACTGGGAGGACCAGGTCTCAGAGGA